TGTTAAGTTGCCTAATAATTATGCACAGTAATAGTCACCTGCACACACAGATATCCCCCTAAAATAGCTAAAACTAAAAACAAACTAAGAACTACTTCCAAAAACATTCAGCTTTGATATTAATGAGTTTTTTGGGGTCATTGAGAACATGGTTGTTGTTCAATAATAACATTATTCCTCAAAAATACAACTTGCCTAATAATTCTGCACTCCCTGTATGTTGGATGTGCCACACAGTGCTCAATTACATGGGTGGGAGCTAGTGTGTTAGTGCAGTTAGCTCGTTAACGTGTTGGACGTCCAGCCTCACGCACGGGCGATCCGCGGTAGCTCGTTAACGGAGATTTGCCGTGTTGTGGCGTTAAGGTCATTTCAATGAGATTAACCTGACAGCACTAGTGGGAACACAACGGATATGACTGCACATTTACTCCGACATCATCCTAGTGCAAAGACAAGTGGAAGCAGACAAAAACAACAAGCATGCATGCTACAAACTTTACCCGAGTCATTTAGACAGCCGTTAGCACAGGATTCTCCTTATGGGGACCTGATATGTTTAATATGCTGCTGAGAATATAGCCCAGAAGAAGCGGATAGTAGAGCTTTTATTTTATAAGAGCCATTTCTCTGTAATAAACTCTCTTTTCCAAAGATGAGCGATTTCTCGATCAGATAGATTTATTTTTTTTTATTTTGTTGTTTCAGCAACATTAAATTTAAAAACTGTACGTTTGAGTTAAAATATATATTTATAATTTTAATAAATGACAAATTAAAAAAGCACGAACATTTTTTTGTATCGAAAAAATATCGAACCGTGACACCAAAGTATCGAACCGAACCGTGAATTTTGTGTATTGTTGCACCCCTAGTATGTATGTATGGATGGATGTATGGAGATCCAGTTGCTTTGTTGTGTTATATTTTGATTTGCTGGCCCGGTGTGGCTCCAAGACTTCTAAGGGACATCTTTAGAAAGTTGTTCTAAGAGATCTATTTCATCCTGCTATGAAATGGTTCCACCTCATTGTTCAATAAGTCCATTGAGATTTTCCCACACAGCCATCCCATGGTTTACAGAGTAGAGTCTTTTAAATGCGCCAACACTCTTTTGGATGCACATTCTTGCCTATGCAAGAAGAAAGAAAAAAAAACTACCAGAAATATTTGTAATTCTTAAATTACAGATCTTTATAAAAACATTTTGTGGCATTCTTCCTTGTTACAATATAACTAGACTTTAAGCTAATGGGGTTTTGGCTCTCCTGTATTGGGTCCTTGTCACTTTTTCCTTGTAGCTAATTTACCTTTTTGCCAGCCATGGTGACCGTTAGTTGCTTCCTGTGTCCTCGGCCAGCAGTCTGTGGAGGAGCCTCTCCCCCTCTGTCAGGTCCGGCTTCCTGCTGTCCCTTCCCAGCTGGTGAACCGCCACTGAATGGCTTTGTCACCACCACACGACTATCCTGCTTCCAATCAAAGAAAAGGACAGTCTATGAAATATATGAAATATTGATGTAGTTAACAGCATTTGATAGAACAGATGGGTTCTATCAAATGCAAAGACAACACTGTGGGATATTAGTTAATGTAGCTTTTTTTAAAAACCAGGGGTGTCGAATATAAGGCCGGGGGGGGGCAGAGACTCCAAACCGGCCCACTGGACATCTTTGAAAAATGTGAAAATATTTTCCTTTTAATTGTATTCTTATAAATTGTACAGCATTTCCTACTGATGGAGACCTCCCCCACAGTCTTTCATACAACACCAAAGTAATAAATAAACATTTAAATAACAGAAATTCCTGTTTTTTTCTTTTTTTGCACATTAACAAAACTTTCCACTTGAGGAATGATGTACCAGAACGTTTTCTGTAGTTTAACTTATTTCATGTATTTTTTATAATTTAAGCCCAAAGAGTCAAGCTGACAGATTTCCTTTATTAAATAGAGCAGCATTTCTTATTCAGGTAGTAAAACTGAGACGTGTTGGGATTTTGAATTAAAGATAAAATTATTATTATCATTATTTTTGCTGACACTCACACTAGCGGACTTGCTGATTGTGATGGTAAGATCGTCGGCTTTGCCCTTCCGGCTCTGCAGTGCCATTCCTTCCTCTTCTGCTCTTTTCCTGTCCTCCTCTACCTCCTACAAACAATAAAGTAATTAGGAAACCTGAAAGAGTTGCAAGCTCCACACATAAAACCTCAGAAGCTTTTCTATATGTGAAGGCTTCTTCTCACCTTGTACCTCTTCATGAGAGCTTCATTCTTCCTGCGGAGAGCCTCAATCTTCTTGTCCAGCTCCAGGTCCTTCTCATGATCCCTCTTAGGCATCATGTCACTGGAGGTCTGGGATGAGACATTTATAGGTATTCATTAGAAAAATAAAAACATTTACATTTCATCAGATTGATCTTATTTTGAGGCTTCTATGGCTTCATTAAACCTGGTTTTCTCACAGGTGGGGTGCCATGTGAAATTTAAATAAAACCCTACTGTTCACTGGAAATAAAACAAACAGGATATGGCACAAGCTCAGAAATAACCCAGTCTCATGTTGAAGTTCATGCATCCAACAGGTTTCACAATTCTTTTAGGACTGGAGTAATGTTGCCACTTTGTTGCATCACTTCTTCTTTAAACATTTGTGTGGGAACCTAGGAGACAAATTGCAGTCATTTTGACAGTGAAAGGTTTCTTATTTTTCCAAACACAGCTGTGTGAAAAAGAACACTTACTGCTTCCCCACAAATTACAAGTAGAATCCAGCTGCTGCCAATCAAATGCACTAGATTAAAAAGAACATCACCAAATGTGTCCACCTCTATAGAAGCAGAGGGTTTTTGGCCGTTAGCTGGTATGGATCACCTCAAGCTCAAACTATACAATGCTCAGAAAAAATACCAGGCCTCAGTTAACATGTTAAAAGTTCAAGTTTGTGACAGTACAGAGGAGAAAGCCATCTTTTCTCTAAAAGAACATGGCAGCAAAGCTTAGCTTTGCAAAGCTACATCTGAACAAACCACAAGACCTCTGAAACAATGTCTTTTGGACAGGGAAGATTAGTGTGGAGATGTTTGGCCATAAAACTGCATAAAACTGCACGTACCAGCACACCAGGACCTCATGGCAACTGTCAAGTACGGTGGTGGAGGGCTGATGTCTTCGGCCTGTTTTTCATCTATAAAACCTGGACACCTTGAAGTCCACGAGCTCCTCTATATACCAAGGAATTCTAGAGTCAAATGTGAGGTCATCTGTCTGATAGATAAAGGTATAAAGCTCATGCAACAAGACAGCAGCAAATCTACCACAGAATGGCTGAAAAAATTAAAAGAACCAAGGTGTTGTAGCAATGTCCAGACCTCTAACTGAAATACTGTCGTACAAGTTTCAAAGGACTCCATTGAGACCTCCATAAACTCTCTTGACTCTATTTTAACTGCCTACATGCCTTTTAGCACTTGGACCACTTTACTGCAGAGCCCTGGAGAATCATCAATGTTTCTAACAAGCTGTTTTTTGGTGTGTGTGAAACACTTTCATTACTTAACAAATTTAATTTGCACCGCAAACAATAGTCTAGAAATGAAAAACTTTTGTTCTATACTAAGCAATGAGCAAATAAGATTACAAACCAAACCATACACACCTGCTTTAGCAGTGTAAAGAATCTGATATTATTGTTCTAGACACATTTATCAATAAAGAACAAAATGCCTACATTCAGCACTCAGCTCTATTCTTGTATTTCTGTATATATTGTGAGTTTGACCATAATTACAATGACATTTAAATAAGCAACTGCAACAATATAAAACCTGCTTACAAGCAGAGGAGAAACCAAGGCTGACAGGTGAAGTAACCATCAGCTGATCAGCTGGACTGACAATTATTTTAAAAAGGCACCTGTGTACATCAGTGTGCAGCAGTGTGCACACTAATAACACACTAATAACACTGATAGATCCTCACACCCACCACAGATGGAGCATTCATCATGAAGCTCAGTTACACGAGCTGAATGCATATGCAGACCAAATTTAAATACCCCAATGCAATCAGCAGGGCACAAATAGAGGCTCCATACTGAAAATGTGCTCCATGTGCTCTCATTCAGCCTGCTTCATTCAGAGAGAACCTCACTTTATCATATTATACCAACTGTAACTGTAAAAGCAAGGGCAGGCATTAAGTTAAAGGACTCTTAAATGTGCACAGATGTTCACAGAGCAGGGACAGTGAAGCATCAGATTTCTGCATGAAAAAGAGTTAATTTCCTTTAACCTGCAGCAGCTTAGCCTCCTGTTCCCTCCCTCCCTTACTCCCGGGTCCAAAGTGTGGCTCAGAAAACTGGTGAAACAGGAGCACTCCTCTGGAGCCCAGCGGCTAAAAGAGGCTATGCTACCTTCTTTAAAGCAAACAGTAATTCAAGGATATAGCCTCAGAAGCTGATAAAAGCAAAGTGCAATCTTTCTCATCGCCACTGGGGGGATGATTCCAAAATCAGGCAAATTATATAGAAGTCTGTGAGAAAATGATCCAAATAATCCATTTATTTATGACCTAAATGTAGGTCACAAATATGAGTTTGTTGTTACAATTGCTTGCTTAAACTCTTATGTAGCACAACATTGTGTTGATTTTGTAAACCGTGGCTTAATTGAAAATAAAAGACACAATAAAGTCCTGCACAAGTTTGAGTGTGGCTGATGTGATACACAAATATAGAATAGAATAGAATAGAATAGAATAGAATAGAATATGTGCCAAAGCTAAAATAGAGCAGACTTGTCATTTCAAGACTATTTCAATTATCAGTACTTCTTCTCTTATAGCAAGCCAACACCATTTTTCTTCTTAGAAAGAATTCAAACATAAACAGCAGTACGGGATTAAATCTGAATGAACAACATTCACTGTCAAATCAATCAGCTATGTGTCTCCCTCTTTGAATCACTGTCGGCATCATCTGTTGTTATTCACAGCTCTGGAGAAGTGACAGTAACGCCGGCAAATAGAGAATTTGCCACTTCTGCTTGTTTGCATCTGTGAGGAAAACATAATTCATTTTGAAGTGTCCTGTTCTCCACTCTCTGCATAAGTGACTCTGAGGGGTCAGACCATCCTGACATGCATAGGACGTAGATGTGCCAAAGTGAGTCAGTCATCCTCCACTGTTGCTTCACTGACGACATACAAGTCAAGGTTTCTAGCACATAACGATGACTCACTATGAGGACCGCAAGGAATCTATTCATGTTTTTTTTCCATCACTGCAAGGAATGGCTGCCACTGGGATGCTGAATAGTTGAATTCACACTGAGCTCTCAAATCGGTCTGATTTTTTGCAAAATGACGGCAACTACATATCCTGAAATCGTCTGGGAACCTGCAAAAAGCTCAGTGGTTGTGAAAAAAGTTTGGAGTCATTCAAAGGGGCGAACAGGCTGGAAAGTGGTTACCTCACTGCTCTTAGTTGTCAGGGTACCCAAACACAACAGACCATGAGGACATACCACCAAGAATAGGCGCAACAGAGAAACTCGCTGTCGACTCCGATTCTCAGGGAGGCCAATGGCGGAGAGTGAAGCAAACGCCCGCTTCAACGAACCAAAAAGTGGGGAGAATCTTTGCAGAAATGGCAAACCTCTGGCTCCTGGAGACCTGTGACAGTGCAGCAGCACAGCTAACACCCTCACGCGATCAAACGGCACACAGACCCTGCCAGCGGATGGCATCCATGCCCGGACAGACGGGCAAAAGGGGGAGGAAGCAGCCTGTAGGGAGAAAGCTGCCAAGGCTCCCCCCCCCCCACACACACACACACCACCTCCTACCCGGCGATCCTGCCACCTACGGGAGCGACAGCAGGGGAGAGAAAGAGCCAGAGACACAGCTGAAACTGCGACAGAGCAGAAGAGGAAACGAGGGGGAACCTAATACTAAAAAAAGAGAGGGAGAGCGAGGGGGAAGAAGAGAGAAGGCACTCACTGGTCTTTCCATGTCAGCGCTGGGAGCTGGGCTGGGTCCAGGCGCAAGGCAGCCGTGGCGGCAGAGAGGGCTGGCTGGAGTCGACGATCATGCCTTGATTACAATGAGCCAAGTTGGGCAAGCAGCCAAGACGTCTAACAAATGCACAGAGCTCCCCTGTTAACGGATTTCACAGCGCCCACCCGCTCTCTCTCTCGCTCTCCCTCTCCAAGCCTCCTACCCGCTTGTCCTCACTCCCTCCTACCCTCCCTCTCCCCCTATAAAGCACTTGCTCTTTCCCCTCCTCACTTATCTTCTGCTCAAGGCACGTCGGTTAAAACCTGTTACCCTCCGATCATGCGACGCACTCTGTGAATCTGAAATTAGCGCTATTGCTCAAATGACACTGTAATAAACAAAAATAAGAAACACCTTTTTTTCCTATAAGTGAATAGAACGCCACATGCTTGGCAACAAATCTGTCTGATTTCTCGTATGTTTTTATGCTTCAGACACTGGCAACATAAGAACAGTTTCCCCTTTATTATCTAAAATGTAGACTAAAACTCGCTGATTCCAATACTGGCACAATTTGGTTTATTAAAACATAAAATACTACTCTAACCTTTTAAACAGACCTCCTTTCCTAGCTTATCATACCACTGTGTGGATCCAGGCATCACAGAAATATGATGCACGTGCTGTTTGTTCCCACTGTGGTTTCAGTAGCTCTTTTTCCCATGATGTCAAGACTACACGTTGAGAGTACTAAAGAAGTATCCTAAAGAAAGGTGCACTGCAGGGGGAGTGGGGGGCTTGCATTTCCCACCATTCTTCACACGCCGAGCGCTGCCTCTACCAAAGTTTGAGCGCTGAAGACATGCAACAGCCTGGCACACAAATAACACAGGCAGCTGAAGAAAGGCTACAGCACTGAGGTCGGTCACTTAACACTCCGAGTCAGTGCTCTGCAATTTCCACTGCATTGTGGAAACAATAACACCATTGAAAGTTACCACTGGGAGCTGTTGCATATTTGTCATATTCAAGTCCACATAGCTTTAATTCTGCACATATCAATCCTGCCAATGAGCAAAAATATATATATATTAGAATAAATAAATATATATGATGTTAAGGCCCCTAATATATCAATATCAAAACTATTCTACTAAATGGGGAAGTAAGTTGTTAAATATTATAATGACTGCAAGGAAGTGTAATAGCAAGCTGTTATCAATATCAGATCAGAGAGAAGCCTTACACTGACACTGTATTATAATTTAAGGGTTATGTTTACTGTCACTGGTGTGAAAAGGACCAAACATAGTAGAATCAGAAATGTCAAACCAATGAGGACCCACAATGCAACAGTCACATGTAAAATATAAAAACACCGTAGTACTGCAAGATTATTACAGTTAGTTACTTACAAGTAAAGTCAGGAAAAAGAAGCCCACTGTAAACTGAAATAAAAAAAATACAAAAATAAAACATTAATATAATGAAATATACAAAAATATAATGTGTGAGATGAGTAATGGTTCTTAAAGCATCGTTAGACTCTTTGAAAGTCAAAGCTTAAATGGCAAATACGGGGTAAGTTAAAAGGCAAATTTATAAATTTCTTGCCTGACAGTTCAAATGCTATGCTTAAAACAGGCAGACAGAAAAATACACTCATGTCAACAGCAGCAGAACTCACCGCCATCGAGGATAACAGCAGACACAGGCTGCAATGTGACGTCATGTCCACCAGGTGGCGCCAAATCACCGTCAACATTAGCGAAGTTCCACGAGGCGAGACGAGTTGTTGATTTGAAAATAAATTCATAGAAAATCATTCTTACGTCCTTTTGGTAGCGTTTGCACGACTGTGTGTGATCATTCTGTCTGTAAGCACGATAACTCGAAAGGTTTTGAATGGATTCTGATAAAACTCTGTAGGAGTGTAGAGTGGGTCATGATAACAATGCATTAAAATCACATGGCTGACATCCAACAAGGTCTTCAAGGTCAATTTAATGACTTGTTGCCTGAAAAATTGGCAAAAAAAACCCTCACAAGTGATTGTGATTCTCACAAGTGTGGTATGTACTGTCAACATCTAGAAAGTGGTGTTTAACGATTTAAAATATCATATGACATGTTACACAGAATTAGAGCTGGGCGATATAAGATTTTTTCATATCACGATATGTTTTTTTCCATTTCAGGCGATAACGATATCTATCACGATATCAGCCAAATAACTATATTTGTAAGATTTAAATGTGCCGTTGCTCACAAGTAAAATGTGAAATAATCAGCAGCTTGTTTTTATATATTTATTTCCCATAATAAGTTCAACAGGGTAGATGTACTTAAGGAACATGAGACTTTTTCAGATAAATAAAGGCAAATATTGCAAACTACACAAAAGGCAGCCGCTAAAGCGTTTAAGTTTCAAAACAGAACAAACGAAACAGACTAAATTGTCAATTCCACTTAGAAACAAAATATTAATTCTAAAAATAAATCTTAGTTTGTTTTACAGAAGAACAGACAAAACTGACTAACTTTTGTCAATATCAAATAAACTGAGAACTAAAAGGAAATTCTCGATCTCTCCTTGTTGTATAGCTGAGCTTTTCAAACAGTTTTAACAGCTACTTTAGTCTGACAAAAGCCGAATGACGAATTAGCGCTTCCAGTCAGAGACTGAGGCTACGTCCACACATACACGGGTATTTTTGAAAACGGAGATTTTCCGTTTTCGTTTTAAAAAATAATCCCGTCCACACATAAAGGCAGAAATGAAGGAAAACGCTGCTATGAACATGCCAAAGCAGCAGGTGGCGCTAGATTCCTAACCGTGCAGAAATGTTGGCCAATCAGAAGTCTAGAAGCCTCGGTGGGAAAAAGTAAACAAAGCTGGGGCGTAGAAGCAGAACCGAGTCGTATGTGTGGAGGGACAATAACTGTGTGTATATGTAAGCATTTAAACACTGCAGAGAGTAGAATTAACAGTAACAATATTGTAGAAATTCATTTCACCGAAACAATAACGTGGCGCACAGTGTGACGCATGCACCAGTTTATTGTATTTCCAGACTTGCTTTCGGCACAATTTACAGTGCACGCTACTCTGTTTTTTGTCAGACTTGAAATAGCCGAAATACCTTCACACTACGGAGCTTGTATGGCTCTTCCGTTCGACAATCTCTCCGGCGTTGGAACCATCATCTGTTTTCTCTTCGGTCACGCTCGGTTGATTTTTCTAGTCGGCACACTCATTTCCTCCATTACCCGGGCGGTACGGTGGCTGGCTGCTTCCCAAACAAACACACGTGCGGCTTGGCACTTGTGCTGTACGTAACAAGTCACGCGACGTGACGCTGCGGCTGTGATTGGTTTGGCTCTGCGCTACTTAATTTGGATTGGCTGACCTTTTTTTTTTTTTTTTTTTTTTAAGAGGACAAGAGCGGCGAGGTCTATCGCGATAGTTTAATTTCTCTATCGAGTAAAAGTTATATCGCGATACATATCGTTATCGTTCTATTGCCCAGCTCTAGGTCCACCATATCAAAGGCCGCAGAGAGGTCCAGTAAAACGAGGACCATAGAGCATCCAGTATCTGTGATTACAAGAATATCATTAAGAACTCTAACCAACGCTGTTTCAGTGCAATGCAATGGCTTAAAAGCAGATTGAAATTTCTCAGCAATATTGTTCGTGTCCAAGTACGCCTGGAGCTGGGAGAGAACTAGTCTCTCCAGGATCTTGGACAAGAACGAGAGCTTAGAGATCGGTCTGTAGTTTAAAAGGAAGAAACAGTCAGAGTTTCTTTTTTTAAGAATCGGGTGGACTACAGCATGCTTAAAAGCGAAAGGAACACAGCTTGAGAGCAAGGAGAAAGAAGAAATAGGATGCTAGGTGCAATTACATCAAAACAGTCCTTAGCTATGCGAGATGGAAGAATGTCAAGCACAGTATTGGTGTTATTCATTTGATCAACTAACCGCCTAAGAGACAAAAGTGACACAGGCTCAAACTGGTGGAAAGTTGAAATGCACTCAGGAATGGGGAGAGGACATAAAACAGGGGGAAGGGACGACTTAAGAGATGAGACCTTATCTAAAAAGTGAATTTGAAATCGCTCACAAAGAGCCTGAGAATACGGTAAAGGCATATCCGGGCAAGGGTTAACCACTGAGTTAAAAGTTTTAAATTAGGTACGGGAGTTATGACCATTGGCCAGGATGATTTTGGATAAGAAAGACACTCACTGCTGAGTGAGAAAAGGATACAGGTCTAGCTTTTAGTGGAGTTCAAAATACTACTAAGGCTATGATTATAATCAGTGGCGGTCCTAGGCTGTTTGGTGCCCTGGGCGAACACTCCCTCTGGCGCCACCCCCCCCCCCCCCCCCCCCCCCCCCCCCCCCCCCCCCCACACACACACACACATATGAAGAGAGAGAGAGTATACATAGTATGCAAACGGCTACTAAACAGACATCATAATTCGTCATACAATGAGAAGAGGACAAATCATTAATTAGTCATTGATAATGACTAATTAATATTATATTATTGTATATATTGTTTGAAGTTTAGTCTGTTATTGTTACTATTTTTACCATTTCTTCTTGGAGCAACTGTAACCCACATAATTTCCTTAGGGATTAATAAAGTATTCTGATTCTTAATATTTTAGGATACATGACCTGCCATTATCCAATGACACATCTGCTTACCTGTATCTTTTGCTCGTTTCTCCTTGTAGGAGCCATAATTAAATTTATTCAATTTCAATGATCACTGGGTTTTCATTTGTTTGGTTGCTATGGTGATGTGTAACGGGAGTCACGTGGGTGCCAACGGTGACATTAAGAGGGTGTTGTCAGTCTGTCTTTCACTGGTTTGATTTTGACAGAGAGGAGGGCTGGGTAGCCTTAGTTTTTGTTGACCACAGCACAATGAGTTTCCCCTTGTTGCATTAGAGCCTGTGATGTTTTAAGGGTTTG